AAAAAAAAAAAAAGATGGCTTTTAATGAGGCCATGTGCTCTTTGATTACTGGGTGCTATCAGGTGTCAGCTCATTGACTGGGTGCCAGGAATATTGTTGGAGGTTTAAGGTTTTGTGGCTCACATTTTTCTCTAGGGTGGCTGCAAGACCAGTGGAGATAGGATTTCTTGCATTCCCTGACCTATGACTCCTAGGGAGAACCCACAGGCTATCTGAATTAGTAACGTCTCTATTTACTTACTATCGAATTTCGCTAGGAAAATTGCTAATGGCCCAGAACCGTTAGGCAACTTTTCTGTACAACACATGCGCACACACAGACACACACACACACAGACAGACACACACACACACACACACACACGCACAGCTATCTTAGAAGGAACTGTATTACTGACAGCTATGTAGGGGCAAGGTTTTTAATGTTCTAAATGTCCTCATTCATTTCTGCCTAAACCTTTTGGGGATGATCAACTTCCTAGTTTTTCGGCTTATGCCGATCACTGAATCTTAATTGAGTAGCAAGATCATCGTAGTTGATTTCCTTTCACAAGTCAACTGTGCCGGAACAACTTTAGAAGTAAAAAAAAACAAAAAACCAACAAAACACAAAACCGAAAAACAACCATGCATCAGCAACAGAGAGAGTATAGTGTGTTTGCAAGGAGACTTTTCAGGTTCAAACTCATTAGAGGTGCAACCTTGGATAAAGTACACTGTGTCTCAGTTTTCTCGTCTGTATAATGGCACACTAGTAGAAGAACTTAACTGGTGGGATGAGCGGTGAGGATTGCAGAGGTGAAGTTGTTAAGGGTACTGTGCATGGGCTATAAAAGCACCGGGTCAGACTCCACGGTTGGAACCCACCAGCCGCTCTGCAGGAGGAAGACGTGGCAGCTTGCTCCCATAGAGATTTACAGTCTTGGACGTGCTGCGGGTAGTTCTACTTTATCCTGTAGGGCATTGCAAGTCTGAATGGACTCAAGGACAGTGAGTCTGGTTTAATGTGAGGGTTAGCTGCTGCTGCTGTTGCTGTTACGCAAATCATTATCCTATAGGCAATATTAATAATGGCATAGTAAAGCTAGTTAAAGACTTGCACTCCAAACAAGCAACTCATTGCCATCAGATCAGTAATGACTCACAGTGACCATGTAGGACAGGGTAGAACTCCAAAGTTGTCCGTCTTTCCAGGAGTAGAAAGCCTCATCTTTCTCCTTCAGAGTGGCTGGTGGATTCAAATCGCTGAGCTTTCAGTTAGCCCACCATGTCACCAGTGATGGTGTGTGTGCACAGTGGCTGCCATGTACCAGAAACACAATAAAGAGTTGGGAGTTACTAAAGAATATGCTTACTCTGTAATTTTCTGTGTATATTTGCTCTTAGAAATATAGGAGAATGGTCCGTGGTGGGTCTGATCAGAAGAATTGACTGCAGTGAGTCTCGCAAGGCTTAGAACTGGTCGAGGCAGCCTGAAAAACCATCTCCTGCTGACCTTCTCTCTTCTTTCGTCTTAGGAAACAAATACCTGTTGGGAAAAGCCTACAGACTTTCTTCTTCCTTTCCCCCTAAAAGGAAAGTCGATGCGATTCTGGGGAATGAGGATCGTACCTGTGTGTGCCCATTTGCTGATGTCACACAGAAGCATTCTCAGCTGAGGTGCTAACACTTTGCTTCTCTTCACAATAGGTTCACCCTAAATTCCACTATAAACAAGCTCACCAACCAGGCACAGACACTTCTTGTGTGACCTTTTCCTATGATGGCAATGTCCTTGCCTCTCGTGGAGGTAGGTTGAAAGAAAAACAAAGTTACTTTGTGAATAATATTTAACTCTGTAGATATATGTAACACTTAATATCTTAGTAAAACTAGCTGCATTTTTTGTTAATGTACTTTTACAATCTAATTTTTTTTAGTATTTCCAACTTGATAATATTTAGAGCGTAGAAAGTGAACTAGAAAAAAGTTGAAAATATGTACTTTTTTCTTCCTTAAATATTTATTTTAGCTTTGAGTTCTGTAAGAGATGGAGGTCCCCAAGGATGAACCTGAGATATTTTGTAGATGAGGATCTGCTTTCTCTGTCATTTTATAATTCTGTGTCTGGTATTTCAGGGCCTTCTGTTTGTTCATGATTTGTTTTTTTGTTTTTTTGCTTTTGTTCGCTTCTTTGTGTTTAAATTCAAACACTAACTCAATTCAGCTAAAAAAGTCACATACCTGGATGTTAACTTTTTAAATAGTACATACTTATGTATGATTGTATTATAAATGTACTTAAACACATTCATATGATTGGATGCAGGTTGTTTCTGATTTTTTGCTAAATCTTGCTCACATGGTTAGGCTGTGTATTGACAGATAAGATGGAATATAGAGATGAGAATTTATGAGAAAAGCATTATGGGAACGTATGGGACATGACTGATGTATTCTAGAGGGACCATTTGTGGAGAGAACAAAGAAAGAGCAGGAAAAATAGGCTAAGCCATGCCCTAGAGCAGGGGTCCTCAAACTTTTTAAACAGGGGGCCAGTTCACTGTCCTTCAGACCCGTTGGAGGGCTGGACTATAGTTTAAAAAAAAAAACTGTGAACAAATTCCTATGCACACTGCACATATCTTATTTTGAAGTAAAAAACAAAACGGGGCAAAAACGCATGGTGGACTGGATAAATGTCCTCGGCATGTGGCCCGCGGGCCGTAGTTTGAGGACCCCTGTCCTAGAGGGTCTTAAATGTTAACCAAAGAGTTTAGCCTTTAATTTTAGACCAAAGAAGACACGGCACTTTAGCTAGATGCATCTAGCAACATCTTATTTACACAATCAGCTATCACATACTGATCATATGCAGAGTTAGGCAATCTGCTACGGGCTGTGTATATACTGTGACCATCATGGACAGGGTTCCTCTTCTGAAAGAATCTACCATCTAGTGTAAGGGTAGTCGGGGTAGAGGGAGGGAACAAGATTTGGCCCAGCTTTCTTTTCCATCTCACCAGTCTGTGTCCTTTATCCTTAAGAAGTCCAACTTTCCTTTCATCCAAGGAAGCCTCTTCTGCTCTATTCAAAATACCCTCCCTTTCATAATTAAAAGAAAATGCCCTTTGTATATAGTATACCTATATATGAGGGCGTACACTCCACCAAAAAACCCCAGAATCACAGTGAGTGGAGCAGAGCTTACGCATTTTGACCTGCTAGGCGAGCAGAGTGACTCACTCTGAGTTAGTGCACCCAGTGGCATCACCTGAGAAAGTTCTCTCAGGTCACAGTGAATTTTTTCATAAATGCAGTTTTGCTCGAACCTTTTTTGTGTGTGTGATGGCTGATTTAAGAGAACAGTGTGTGGCTGTGAAATTTTGTTTCCTGCTTGGGAAAAATGCTGCAGAAACTGTCGTGATATTGAACACAGCTTACAAGGACAGCACTATGGAAAAAACTCAATTGTACGAGTGGCTTTCTCGTTTCAAAAAAGGTGAACTGTCGATTGATGACAAACCTCATTCTGGATGTCCACCAACTTCCTGAAAGAATGAAAATGTTGACTTGTGCATTTTGAGTTCATTCCACCAGGTCAGACTGTTAGTCAAGCTTTCTATTTAGAGGTTCTGAAAAAATTGTATAACAGTATGTGACAAAAAAGTCTTGGTATTGCCACCATGACAATGCAGCTGCTCACGCAGCTATCTCAGTGTGTCAGCTTTGAGCAAAAACAGCATGCCTCTCTTACCCTATGCACCCTACTTACCTGACCTCACTCTGTGCGACTTGTTCCTGCAAATGAAGAAGGACAAGAAAGGACAGGGAGTCGATGACAACGTAGAAGAGGTGAAGGATAAACGAGGGAGGGGCTGTCAGCCATCCACACAGATGAGTTTGAAAAATGTCTCCAAGAATGGAATCGCAGACTGGACAAGTGTATTAAGTGTAATGGAGAGGACTTTGAAGGGGATAAGGTTGTTTTGTAAAAAAAACAATTTTAATACAAAGCTGGGTTGGGGAGGATTCCAGGTTTTGGTGGGGTACCCCCTTGTATGTTGTAGTGGCTCTGGGTTCTCTACGAACCCAAAAAACCAAACTCACTGCCATGAGTCAGCGCTGACTCATAGTGACTCCCTGTGTGTTTCTGAGCCTAGCTGTTTAATTGGTGTTGAAAGCCCAGTCTTAATCCCAAGGAGCTGCTGATAGTTTTGAACTGCCAACCATGAGGATTGCAGCTCAACATGGGGCCACTATACCACCAGGGTTCCTAATCCTCTAGGAGGGATTTACAAATGACAGATGCTCTACTTAGATGTTTTCAAGTTCACTGGCATCTTTGGGGTGGCATACTCCAGTTTACAAGGTGGAATAGGAAGGAGGGCTGTGTAGTTTCAAAATTCAGAGGATTTTGAAAAAGGCCAGACTCCACACAATTAATAAACTGTTTCGGTGGTAATTCTTACCTTTACCTTCTATCCAAGAATAGCTGTTGGTTGTCTTGGGCGGCTGAGGCAGCATCTGTACTAGATTCCATCACTTTCCTTCCTGGGCATACACGATATGGCAGAAGGAGGTCTGGTCAGCAAAGAGTTGCTTGGACTTGTAAGGTCCTCCAGCTAGCTGCAGAACTTGATGGCTAGTGGAACGGTTGAGTGCAGATTAATGTTTTCCTTTTGTTTAAGGATTATGGTTTTCTATATAACCTTTGTAAAGACTTCAGTTACAATAGAGGGATGTTCCAAAAGTTCTCCCAGTGCAAGCAGGTGCAAGAGGCCAGTTAGTTGTGGATTTCAGAAGAAGGATCGCTGGGGAGAGACTGGGGATTTTCATTTGAACTCTCCACTCCCCTCTCTTGCACCTGATACTAATTCCTTGTTGGGCCACAGAAGGTGGGGCAGATTTCAGCTGTGGGCACTGGGGAGAAAGGCCAGCAAAGACTTTACTTCCATGAGCTTTTGGCTTTTTTACTGGTCAGGAATTAGTAGCACTGTAGAACTATATTTTAAAAAGTGATTCTTGAAAGAACGTTCATTATCCTTTAAGTGCCTGGGAAAATCTGTGCTCCCCCATGAAATGAAGAATGATAGCAGCAGGTAGAGTTATAGCGGAGGAGGGAAGGGGGAGCCACATGGCTCTCCCTCATTAATGCTAATGGATGGCCCTACCTTTGCACCCTGGGAAAGAGGATCTGTTGTGAATTGAAAAATTTTCAGTCCTGGTGGTTATTAGATTCAGATCTCCTCGGGAAGTCAGGTTGTGCTCAAATACACCACCGGGAACTGCCATCTGCTTTAAAATCACACTTTGATGGATTCTCCAGGGTCTCTTCTAGCCGGGAGTTGCTGCATCTACAGGAGAGCCATTCTTCAAGGCCAATTCATTATCATCCAGCTCTCTACTGTTCTCACAACCACTGTTTTCAAGCTCCCTGCACAATTAATAAAAGAAAACCCGCATATGTGCATCTGTTAGTTTTCATTTTCTTTCTGTTCAAAATAATTAATCCACTAACTTTAGCAATCTGTAAACTTGGAAGAAATTTTTTTTTCAAAATTCACATTTCCTTATTTTTTTCCTTCTCATTCTTCTAACAGGTGATGATACATTAAAATTATGGGATGTCCGACAGTTTAATAAGCCACTTTTTTCAGCCTCTGGACTTCCTACCATGTTTCCAATGTAAGTAGCATATTTTTAATATTTGATCAGCATAGGAAAATGACAAAGAAATTTCTTACCTGAATTTTAACTTAGATATCATTTAGATCTTGTGGAAGAAAAGAACTTGAGTAGGGCAAACCAAGCAGGGAACATAACAGATCAGCAATGGGAGCAAAGCCAAGCCATAAAACCCCTGAGAAGCCCCCAAAATAGACTTCAGGCTAGGAGGGGCAGTTCCCAGAACCCCCCAGGACTGGTCAGGAGATAGTCATAAAGGTCAGCAGATAGACCTGGAATTATGCATGCTTTCTTGCTAGTATTTTTTTCTTTTTCTTTTCTGTTTCCTCTCTTTATTCAATCTTTTCTTTTTGTTTGTCTACCAATATGAAATAGGTATGGGAAGTAAGCCTGGGGAGAAAACAACGGGACCAACGGTTTTGGAGGGAGCTGGTGGGAGGAGAAAGCAGGGGAAAGGAGTGGTGAGGAAACAACGCTATAGACAGGGGAACAACTAGGGAATTAAAAGCAACAATGAGGAGGACTCAGAGATTCCCGTGGTGGTGGAGCAACAGCAATCCAGCTGAGAGGAATTACTAAAAGGCAGAAGAAAAGCAAGCTTGATGATGGGGCAGGAGGAAGGTAAAAGGAAACACAGGAAAGATCTAGGAAGCAGAGCTATGGATAGAGGTATAAACATAGGTGTGCACTTATGTAAATATATTAATTAATAAAAATAGGGGTATTGGACTATGTACATATAGCAATGCATTGAGGAAGTGGATGGACTTTGGGCTACTAATCAAGCCTTCCCTCAACACAAGAACACTTTGTTCTAACAACACTTTGGTATTCTGTGGTGTTCACCCTCCCAAGCACAATCACTGAAAACAAAGTGGGTGCATAAGCAAATGTGGTAAAGAAAGCAGATGGTACCCCGCTATCAAAAGATATAACGTCAGAGGTGTTAAAGGCTTGAAGTTAAATAAGCAGCCATCTAACAGAGAAGCAACAAGCCCTATGGAAGAAGCACACCAGCCTGTGCGATCATGAGGTGTCAACGGGATTGGGCAATAGTCATCAGAATGAAAAAACATATTGTTGAGAACAGAGGGTTGCAGTTGGAGTTGGAGCAGAGACCCAAAACCCATCTGTAGACAATAGGACATCCACTCACAGAAGAGTCACAAGGAAGGGATGAGTCAACCAGGGCGCCGTATAGCACCAATGAAACACACAATATTCCTCTGGTTCTTTGATGCTGCCTCACCACCACCACCCCTCAACTGACATGACCCCAGTCCTGATAGGGCTAGACCGGAACATGTACACTGGTAGAGATACGAGCTTATGACACAGCCCCACAGGAACAGAAATGAGAGTAGCGATACCAGGAGGGTAGGGGAAAGGTCAGGAGGAAAGGTGAACTGATCGCAATGATCGACGCATTCTGCACCCACCTCCGGGGGGAGTAGGATGCAGAAACGTGGGTGAAAGGAGACAGCAGTTGGTGCAAGATATTAAAACGATAGTAATTTATAATTTATCAAGGGGTCACAAAGGTCGAGGGGAGGATAGAGGGGGAAAAAAGAGGAGCTGATAGGCTCAAATAGAGAGTAAATGTTTAGAAAATGTTGATGGCGACATATGCACAAATGTGCTTGATACAATTGGTGTATGGAATGTTATAAGAGCTGTAGGAGCCCCCAATAAAATGATTACAAAAATAAAATTATGTTCCCTTTAAAAAAAAAAAGAACTTTAAAAGTGATTGTAATCTGGCTTTGTTTTGTTTTTGTTTTTCCAAAGATATATTTTATTTTTCCTTTTCATTTTGCACATTCTTCAGGCTGTACATTTTTCCCCTGAGGTTAAATGTTGTATGTGTGTTCATGTTTATGTATAGTTATATACTGTAGGAATGTGCAGGTTTTGAAGCAGGAACCATTTGAAAATATTTAATTATTTAAATGTATCATTGACGGGGTAGTGTTAGGAGATGCCAATGAGTTGGTTCCAACCCATAGCGATCTCAAGCACAACAGAATGTAACGTTGCCCGGTCCTGCACCAGCCTCACAATTGGCCCTATGCTTGAACCCCGTTATTGCATCTACTGTGTTAATCCATCTTATTGAGGGCCTGCCTCTTTACTTTATTTCACTGCCTTTCTACTTTACCGAGGAGCCCTGGTAGTGTAATGATTACACACAGGGCTGTTAACCACAAGGTCAGCAGTTTGAAGCCACCAGTTGCTCTTAGAGAGTAAAAAAATGAGGCTCTCTACTCTTGTAAAGAGTTACAGTATCGGGGAACTGATTACAAGGTTCTACATATAACCCCCTCCCTGGGGGACAGACAACAGAAAAGTGGGTGAAGGGAGACATCATACTGTGTAAGACATGACAAAATAATAATAATTTATAAATTCTCAAGGTTTCATGAGGGGAGGAGAGGTGGGGAGGGAGGGGGAAAAAATGAAGAACTGATACCAAGGGCTTGAGTAGAAAGCAAATGTTTTGAGAATGATGATGGCAACAAATGTACAAATGTGCTTTACACAATGGATGGATGTATGGATTATGATAAGAGTTGTATGAGCCCCCAATAAAATGATTAAAAAAAAGTTACGGTATCAGAAACTCACAGGTGCAGTTCTGCCCTGCCCTGATTGACTTGCTGACCGTGAGGTTTCCTACTTTTCCAAGCATCATGGGTAGGCCTCTGTATCTGGGGTCTTCCAAAATGTAAATTATCATTCTAACAAAGAATTGCCAATTGTTTCTGAGCATGTTTAGTGTAGCTGTTTCTCAGTGTCTCAGTGTCTTTCTTATCAGCACTCCAGTTGATCAGTCAGTGTTCTTCATTTGGTCATGAATGCTTTAGTGCCTTTCTACTCAGTTGGTAAATATTTTTCTGAGGTTGCAGACAAATGGGCAGCTGAGGTGAGATCTGACCTCTGAGCCCAGGGTTGGTGCCTATAAAAAATGTTCCTAAATTGAGTGGACCTGAAATTTCAAGTCTGTGTTTAGTAATAACGAGCAGGACAGGCTTGAAGGGGATGACTCGTCATGGGGGGAAACTGTGATGCGTAGAGCACAAACTGTACCATGGTTGGTCCACTGCCCAGAACACCTGTCTGTGACAGCAAACAAACAGGAATTTATCGCTGATAAGAGCTCCAGATATCGGCAGCACAACAGGTGAGCACTGTTAACCGAAAGCTCGACTGTTCAGACCCACCCCATGATTGACTCTTCAGGGTCTGTTCCCATAGAGACCACAAGCCTTGACAACTGTAGGAGGCATTGTTACTCTGTCCTATGGGGTTGCTATGACGTGGCATCGACTTGATGGCCTTAACAACAACATAGCTTCGGGTCAGTGATAGAGGGGGCCCAATCTGTGACAACAAGCTGTAGAATCCTCACGCTCCGCTGTTTTCTCGTGTGCCAGTGGGGCCGTGTGCCCCGGATTCAAGGTGCTGGACTTGCCCCAATTCACATGATGTGGCATGTGGGTCTGGAGCGAGAGTAGTGAAAGGAAATTTTTTAAATGACCAAAAGAACCACTCACTTCTTCAACATTAGTCATCTGAAGAATCTGAGGATTTCCCACGTGCCCTTTGTGTTAAAAATATCAGATAGAAACTAAAGGCATGAGTTCTAGAACCCAACTGCTGAAGTTTGAACCCCAACTAAACTAAGACCACTTGTGTGATTTGGAAAAGGGTTTTCTCGTCTGCAGAATGGGGACAGTAGCCTCCTAGGACTGTGGATGGAAGAGTAAATGAATGAATAGCAAGAAACACTGGGCTTATTGGAAGTTCTCTATAAGAGTTAACTTTTACAGTATCGATGCTGTTTGCATTTTATTTATTTATTTATTTTTCCCATTCCTTATAATGATTTTCTTTTCTTTTTTTTAATTAATCAATTTATTGGGGCTCATACAATTTATCACAATACATAGATCAATTGTGTAAAGCACATCTATACATTTGTTGCC